CAATAGCGCGTTCGTTTCCCACCATAGACACCTGCGGTCCATAGTTTTGCAAATATCTCAGTAACGTTGTGGTTGTATTTCACTTAGTACCCTGCCGCAAAATTATAGTAGGCAGAAAATAAAAAAAAAGGTATAACATTATGATTTCAACTACAGCCGCAGTTTAACTGGGTTCTATGCCGATTTGGGCGCCCCAGATCAATCCCGCTGACGGGTGATTGCTGTGGCAAAGATCGATAGAAATAGCTGAGAGATAGACGAAACAAAGGACCCGAATGGTGTGGTGGTGAACGCGTTACTCCCCGGAAAGGACAATAGCGCGTTCGTTCCCCACCATAGACACCTGCGGTCCAGAGTTTTGCAAATATCTCAGCAACGTTGTGGTTGTATCTCACATATTCATAACAGGGTTAAACTAATGGAGTAGGATTGTATTAAAACGTCAAAACGAGTTTGCAATTCAAATAAAATGCACAGACCTTAACAATAAAGCTGAGACAAGTGAATTGATAAGCGCTGATGGATTGCTGTAGCCGCTCCGTCAACCACTCATTGATCATCTTCATTTGATTCGCATACCAATTCTAAGCATCCAAGATTATTTCGTCAAGGAACAAGTTCGAGAAAGTGTTTCGTTCTAGTTTAATGAAAAAAGCAGAAACAAAAAGTTGACATGTCTGGAATTTCAGAAATGTGCTTACTTCAAACAATGTGTTCACCCAAACTTCATCAGTAACGATTTGTCGTAGTTGCTCAGTACATCCTCGCATGAAGGTCACGTACGAGTTACCCATGTGTTCGGTTGACCGCTGTTGTGAAAGTGGTGCTTTCTGAAAAATTAGATTCAAGCTTGCATGTATGAATAAGAAAAAGCATAGCGTCTATTGATTATATTTGTAGAAAATCATAAATTTTTAAAAATATCATAAAATGACATCTGAGTACGAGTTAACCCATCAACTCTTGTGTTAGAAAAACTGTGAGAGGTGACCAGTAACCAACCGTTATACATTGATTAGTTCAGTAACTATGCAGAGCACCTAATTAAACTTATTTTGCTTATATTACCGCGTTATTACCGTATTTTGAGGCGTCGATGGTGTCGGGGTACTTGTTCCGCTGATATTGATGCCTTGTTCGCCTACCATTGTTTTCACTTTGTTGAACAGCGATGCCGGCTTAGGCTGGAAAAGAAAACCGTAATCCGTAAGGGCAACATCAAGGAATTCTGCTCTTTTTTTCAAAACTGTACAAATGCAGAAAAGAAAAAACTCGAACCGCCATGCTGAGTAGAGCTCCAATAGGGTTGCCTTCATCATATCGGGCAAGTCTGCTGAGAACGAACTCTAACACGCCTATCAATCGGTCCTGGATACAGGTCTCCATGTCTGAGAGCATGGTATCGAGTGTTTCGTCCAGTTTCGATTGATATTTGAACTATAACAACAGCGATACCGCGAAGACTGGCGATAAACTTTTCATTTTGCCAAATCAGGCGATCTGTAGCAACACTAACTAAATGTGAATTCTCTGCATTACCTTTCGCTTAAAGACATTACTCTAGCCCCAAGCGATATGTAACGATGCAAACGGAAAGAGGTTCACACTGCCATAGAAACCACCCCACCCTCGTCTCTCCCTCCATAGTGGCATACTCCTTCATTGCACCTTAGGAGAAGCTGTATGACTATGTATTCAACTACGATGTATAACAGAGGTTCATGCTCACAGCAGTCTCACAAACTGGGAACGAGTTCTATATTCCGATTACGGTAGCTTAGCTAAGAGTAAGCCGGTGCCAGAAATCACTACCGTACTGAAAATTTGAGGTTGAAGACTAGGGAAAGCCATAGCACTGCTTACGGGATTCCAGGTAAAGTAAATCATGCTGTTCCAGGAAAGTATTATTGAGATAGAAATTGCTTTAAACCACACACGATCCTTCGTGATTCGTGTAGAGGTTTTCAATGACTGAGACTATGCCTTGGACGTAGGAAGAACAACGAAGTTCTATTATTCAGGAAGTACCTCTTAACCGATCTTTTATAAGTTTTCAAAAATTAATTGAAATAACAACCTCTCCAGCGTCTACGGATACTTTCGATGCTCTTGTTTTCGAACTAAACAACACGTTGATCATGACGCACACCTCTGACGGTAGGATGTAATCCGTGGATCGCCGTGCTCTTTGCATCCACAAATCGAATTGTTGGTAAGTACTAAGGAATTTGCAGACAATTAACTGATCCTCATAAGTCAACCGCAAGGAATACATTATTCTTCGGAAAATAGCTAAAGAAGCAACATTTTTTCGTACGCTCCTACCTGCTAGCAACTTTCAATATCATGTCAGAAGTCAGGCTCTTCATTCGTACATTCAGATACTTGCGGAACTCCTCTTCAGGCCAATTCAAGTCAACAATAAACATATGTAAAGCATCTAATTTCCAGTAGATGTCTTCTGATGTTGCACAACCTTCTCTGCAAAAAAATCAGAAGTGTGGAGAAAGCTTGATGGAGTTCCAAATCAAAAGATCTGCGTGGTATTGCAACCACTAGTTCAAAAGGTCATTCAAAAGGTTTGAAGGGCACTTCTACACCATCATTTAAACATAACGGTAAACATGCATTGGCTGCAATGCATTGGTGTGGAATTAATGGCGGCTTCGAACTTTAAATCACCATTTCTCAGTTCGCTACTGTTCTTTCGTATGAGCTTGTACTGCTCTATGAATAAAACAAAATATTTAAGTTCACATTAAATTTCTAGTTGCAAAAAAAGTATTTACGGAATCTGCAGAGCATTGCTCACAGGATATGTTTTCTTTTCTACCCTACCGGGATTTACGCTACCAAGAAGTTCTGATTTTCACAAACGATGATACATTTTCTTTATAATATTAACCTTTTTTTCTGCCTACTACAATTTTTCACGGCCGGATATGATGTGAATTACAATCACAACGACCCTGAGGTATTCGCACAACTTGGGCCACGAGCCGGATCGAACAACGATTACCCTTTCCGAGGGCTAAATCGTAGTTAGATCTGACCCTGGGTCCACGTTTTGTGAAATTTCTTTATATTTTCGTTGAACTATGGGTTTCCACTCAGCAGAATAGAATGGTGCTCCCTACGCTATCGTCTCCATCTCTGCAGCTGCCAATGCGAAATTTCAAAAATTTGCGCTTCTTTTTCAATTTTTTGAGGGTTTGAACTTCAAAAATGTTTATAACTGACAGAATACTTCACAAGTCTTATAGGAATAACTAACGTGATAAAGAAACTCCTTTTCTGTGAATCTGTACGATTTCAACTTGTCAAATACCTCAGCGAGAAATCATCAGCTGTGGAGAAACAAGCCTCGGGCATTTTCCGTTGACAACATTTTTTGTACTTGTTAAACTGCCTAATATGTTATGCGGTACTCTCGTTCTTCTTGGCTAGAGTGTTAATCATAACAAAAAAAGGCGAAAAACTTACTTTCTCGGTTCCCACTTTTCTTTTGAGAACCCCTTGTCAATTGATTGTGATATCGAATGTTCCATGAGATCAGTGTAGCGAACTACGAGAGGTTGGAATTGGGTGGTTATTTTTTTGTGAAAAATCCCGCCATTCAAGGATTCTGAAGAGGATGAAATTGTTTAGCACAAAATTTGACTGAAACGCAGCATTTTTAGTCTCTCACAGAGGAGAACTACAGTTGGTAATCTCCTTTTTTCACTGATTTCCTCATAACCCTTCCGTCATAACGGTGTAGGAAGTAAAATTACAGAGATGTTAAGATGCACGAAGAAATAATACAAACGAAGTTTGGAAACTAAATCAATAAGCATCTTCTTCATAATGGAATCCTTAAGCAGATCAAGAAGTGAATGAAACCTTTGGAACTTGGCTGTTTGTTAGAGAGCAGCTATTTTGGCAAACGTAAAAAAGATCACCTAATAATTCGCAGACCTGACTTTCTATTGCCTAAGGTCTAAATAAGCTGCTTCTGATGTGATTGAAATCTAGATTTCTTGCTTTTTTTGGGGTCACGAAAGTATTTGGCCAGCAACATTGCACATCAACTCAACTTTTACAAAATCTGAAAAATATGAAATTCGCTAAAAGGGGTACCAGAAAATAAATATTGCAACAACTCGTATATAATGCTGAGATATTTGCAAAACTCCGGACCGCAGGTGTATCCGGTCCGGAGTTTTGCAAATATCTCAGCATTACATACGAGTTATATTTCGCAACATACCCTGCCATTAAAAAGAAAAAGGCAGTAAATAAAAGGGTTAATATTGCAACAACCATCTGACGGCTCATTATAAAAACAGCAAATTAAACAACACTTACTCTCACTGAGCAAAAAATCGTTGAGCGTTTGAAAGAGAGGAAAAGCATCCCAAGAGTCGGGCGGTTGCACCTCCATGGCCGAATCCAAATCCACGGAATACAACGACCAGAAGATTTCAGAATGATCAGCTAATAAGTCGGAAAACCATGCGAAGGCCTAGACGATTTTAGATATTTATTCAGAATGCAAATTTTTCACTAGCACACTGCAAATATTACAAAGAGTGATGTGCTAAAGAAGCGTGGGACAAAAAAGCACACCAGAAACAGTTCGCCTTAAAGCCACATCTACGGCTGGGATTTCATGGTACCGTTAACGCCCCTATATGGCGATTAAACATCTCTATTACACAGAATTTGAATTTATCACAATAAAGATATAATTCCTATAAAGCGCATAGGCCTTTGAACCCGTTGAATACTGCGTATGAGATCAGCTGTACACGAGAACAAAAAAAGACTCCCGAAAATAACCCCCAAACCAAAAATGTGGCAATCTACAGTACATTCTGGTTGTATTAATGTAACATTTAGCCCACGTTCTTTGTCTAAAAGTCAAATTTCTTCGCCACAAGCTTCCTTTGGTCGTTTGGTCGCTGACTCGTTGAGAAACAACAAAACACTAACTTTTTATGAGCTTCGTCTCAAAAGTCCAGTATACGATGAATTCACGTATAATTCAAGGATTAATTCATACGTGAAACATTTCAGTGAGGTTGATTAACGAGGAGGATTTATCTTCTACCACCACTCAATTTTGGAATTCAAAAGAGCATGTAGTGAGTGGGGCTCTAGATAACGACCAATACTCCCAAAGTCCTGCTTCGAACTTGCTTTGAACCACCTAAGCTTCTCATACTTCCTCGATCAGGGAATTAGTGAAAGGTTTGTCTGGAAAGGCTCCTCCGATTCACACAAATTGCCTGTGGACAAGACCAGCGAACGCTTTACCATAGATGTCCTAGGATTTCTGTGGAGAAACGATTCGACCACCATTTAACGATGCTAGTGAAAAAACCAAGAGCTTCGAACACCATCCGAACTCAATTACAAAACGGAAAACATTCGTGGATAATGTGTGTAAGGAGACAGATGGAATGAAAGCAGCGTTGGGATCTGCATAATGTGTGATGTTGAATTCAGAGCTGGATTTCAAAACAACACATCTAGAAATACATTCGTTGGTTCAAACCAAGTCTGTCCCCATCCTCATGTCTGAAACTGGCACCAAGATTGTGTGGGACAAGGAAAATAATTGCTTGATGTGAGGGTTAGGTATCAATACATCTTCTTGTAAGGCAAAAAAGCATTCACTCACTTTTACGATGGTTAATCAAGTTTAAAGCATGGCGAATCCCTCAGGGAAATGATTAACCCCGAACGCTCTATCCCTTCACTTTTTAAATTCCCTCTCTATAGCTCTTACGACAACAGAAGGTAATGAGTGGGTTTCCAGTGTTATTCGTTGATTGTCTCGGGATATTTTTATCATACTATTGAGTACTACAACTTAGCCTCATGGGGAGTATAATAAGGCTTCCAGCCATTTCATTTAAATACAGTATGCTCATTGTCTATTCCGGAATAGAACATAGCAATATAACACAAATGTCCATTGGCATTATTTTAGCTATAAAGCCAGGCAATTCTATCTACTACGGTACAACCAGACTGCCCATTCCGTGCACGCGTAAAGGATTAAAATGTGTAACGAACATCAAACGTTAAACACACAGTGAGTTGTGGGAAGTAAAAAATTTCGTGACAGATTAGCAAGTATTTTAAAAAATAGAAAATCACTGTGGTTGTTCTCACAAATCACAATTACCGGCATCGAAAATGACGGACAACATACCCCTCGTAGTTGCTAAAGTAAAGCAAAAAACATTTTCTAAAATAGGAAGAATACAAAAAGAGACAAACTATAGAAAAAAAAGTTATGTGAAATCAATTCATTTCCATTGATACCTTTGAAAAGTTGTATTGCTCACCTCCCCGTGATGTTCTTCGTTTTCTTTGAGCAAGTCGATACAGTACTCGGTCACTCGCATCATGTCTTCAATACGCTGCTGAGGGCTCACGTCGACTCCCATACGTTCTGCAAAACATTCGTCAACCAAAATTGTGGAAAAGAAAAGTTTCAAATGTCGTAGAACCATTTGAAACAATATGTAAAAGTGCGCAAAAATGTTTGCACCTTCACAATACATGAAAATCGAATGCTTGAAAATCCTATAAACTTCAAAGTTCTATAGGTTGCTTTAAATAGAACTAACACCGCCATGGCAGCGAATCTCAAATTAATTCATGGCGCAAAGGGTAAGAGGTAACGATTTTGCGTGCCAGCTCACTTAAAGCCCGCTATTCTTTCCGAGATCGGTGAATTGATACAAGGCATTTCTAAGAGAATATAAACAATAATTTGGTACATCGGCAGACCATCACAAGTTAATGCACAAACCAAGCATGCATCCAGTCACTTCTAATCGGTTTATGAACTACACAACTTCTACATTCTTGAGCTATCACCTTTATCACCTGCCGTTCGGTAGGTGGTTAAATGATTCTAGTGAGCACTAGTAAAACTTCCATCTCTCGCTGTACTCTGATAGAGTGACATAGTAGATTCTGCTTGCTCTAGGAACACGTTGAGCATAATATCTTTTTCTATAGTTTTCGTGAAGACCTCTGACCATCGGGTCGGTGGTATTCCTGCAGTATGTTTGACAGCCCGAGAAAGTTACACGCTAACAGGTCATGTCCGTCGGTTGTCGTTCACACGCAATGTGTGTACGGCCCTCCTTACCTTCGACTGTTTGGTGTATAGAACGGCATCATTAATTTTTGATCGTTTACGCAGGTCGGAGCTTCGGATCCCATCCTTTACTTGTGTGAAACCCCTCTATCACTTGTGTGATATGAGATACTTCTAGTCTCGTCCTTTCGAATGTGTGCTATAATATTGATTGGTCCTTCATCCTGCTTACGGAACGACCACGTTTCTGACGCAAAGGATATGGGACGTGTGTTCTTTGTTCTCTTCTCTGTATCCTCGATGCTTCAGAAAGCTTCCCAAGCTGCTCGTTTCCCCCTGATCAACTCTGCAGCTAAGCCACTCAACATGTTAATTTTCCGACCTGTATAGACTTCCCCATGAACACCGTTTTTTGTGAGATTCAATAGAGGAGACCAACAATTCCACAGGCGTTATCAAAGTCGGCGAGAACTCGATCCGCTTGGCTAATGCTTGGTGTTATAAGGACGATGTTATCAGCAAAGCGAAGATGGTGTAACTGCCCACCATCGATTTTCACTCCCATATTATTCCATTCCAGTGTTCGCATGACGTTCTGGAAGGTGGCGGTAAATAATTTTGGCGAGATGGTATCGCTTTGCCTAACCTCTCTTCTAACATCGATGTTAATATCAACGTAGAATAGTGATATCCTGGTTGTAAAATTTTCATACAGCTCACGAAGAATTTCTCGATATTGAGAAGGGACGACCTGACTGTCAAGGCTTCCATGACTCTTTCTGCCTCAACTGAGTCAGAAGCTTAAATGAGATAGAGCGATCTCTTGTCCATTCGTGATACTCCAACAAGTTTTGTTGTGGTATAGACGTGGTCCATCCTACTGCATCATCCCCTCGAAAATCTGCTTGTTCATACACTTCCATTCGTGCAGTGTTCTTTCAATACTGTCTAGGATGACTCGAGCCGATATTATAGCGGTTATCTTTCTTGAACAATAGCATAGTTACACTGGTTTTCACTGAAAAGGAGCCTTCCATTCTGACAAGTAACGTGTGAGGAACCGAGCCAGTGTGTTCACGAGGAGTGGCGGATGGTTCCTCAGGTGTTCTGATCTTATCCTGTCCGCAACTGGCGCTGTTTGATTTTTCACCGAGGAAACAGCATGTCGGATTTCAGAATGGAGAACCGGTGGCACAGCATAGCCATCGCCCTTTATTTCAAATAAGGAAAGGAGTACGTGGCTGCTGAAAAGATCCGAGTAGTATTCGTGAATGGTTTTCTCCACTGCCTTTTTGGAAACTGCAACTCTTCCGTCTGCGCATTGGAACGCAATCGTCTTGGTTTTCTAATTGACAAATCTTCGGTGAGCTTTGCTAACGCTTTTCTCAAACTCTGCGGCTTCGACCATAACTGTTGCTCTTTTCCCCTTGAAATCCTTTTTTATCGCCTGTCTGCAATCTTTTGCAAGTTCGGACATAAGTTGGCAATTGCCTGCAGCTCGCGCGATTCTAACACTGGCGTATCAGCTGAAGTGATTCTGTGGACAGATGTCTCTCGGTGAATTTCGAACTCCCAGCTTTCACATTTCACAACGGTAACGTGAAGATGTTGGATGGGCCGATAGTGTTCCTCATTAATGTTATCAAGAATGGCATCTTCTCAACAGCTGACCAATGAAATGAATAAATCGCAGCTCATGGTGATTTTGGGACATCGTTTTTTTCAAATTTAGCGGCTTTGTCTCCTTTCCAGGAGAAATTAAATCTTACATGGAGAAGGCGATGGCCAGATTCCGAACTTTTGGGACAACAGCGACATCGGTTAGACAAAGCCATCGACTTACTATGACGTGGTCTATTTCGTTAGCGTACTTTCCATTGGGCGACTTCAATGTTAAGCATTGAGGGTGGGGCTTTTAAAATTGCTAGTTACCATGGATGGTCTTGGTCATCATGATAAACTCAGACAGTCGCTCACCCCGCTCATTCCATTCTAATCCGTGGGTCCCAATGTGACGTTCTTCTTTGTCTAACCTTAACGTTAAAATCTCCAATGATGACATTAGAGAATGCACTTGCTTCTCTGTAGAATTTCACTTACATCATAGCTTGAAGTCGGTGCTTAGACGACGAGGAATGTCAAGATCGGTATTAATCCACATCTCTTCAACCGTAGACGTCCAATTCGGCTTTTTAGTTGTCCGAATGAATGGTCAAACTGGGTCAAACTGGTCCGTGGTCCGTGGTCAAACTAGTGTTGAGGAGAACACCGAAGCCGCCAACTTCTCTACTGTCGCATGTTCCGAGGAACAGTTCTTCTACAGTGTCATAGACATTGTTGAACTGGTAGAATCTTCTCATCTCGGCCAGTACGATGGCGTTGTGCCTTGTCCTTCTTGTCTGAATGGTTAAAAGGTCTATCGAAGACTCAGATGCAGGTGTGCGTGCATTGTAAGTATAGATCATCACCGTAGTTCATTACGATTTAGGCAGCCTACAATGACACCGAGATTTTAGCACCCTCTACGTATTCTTCCTAACCAACGTTGCCGTATCGAGCACCACTCGGGTCAGAGGAATGAGGCTCGTATATTTCACAGTGCTTAGCTGTTGATATCCACGTATAGCGTGCTGAATTCTGAACATGGGGATGGGTATATTCAAACGCAACTTGTCAGTCTCTTCCACAGTAGACGAGGTAACTTATTTGTTGTATTCGACTCTTAGTCGCCTCCCATATTCCTCTCCGTCACTAGACTGCAGACTTTTGGCCGAATTAACTCTTAGAGTAGAATCCGCATAAACGACAACACTCCTACGCATGCGCCTGTGAATACGTCTTTGTAATTGCAAAAATTGTGAGCCAAATCGACGCAGCAAAAGCATAGAATCCATGCCCTGGATCCATCTGCGTCAGAGGGAGCAGAGGTTGCTTCTAGTCCGGTATTGACCTCTTTCCACCAACCTGGAGGCGCCGCATCATGCTTCGCCACTAACCGGCATGAGGTCCTTCTATGAGAGAGATCCCTGGGACCTCATAGGGTATGGAAGGAAGTAATCGCCTATTTCTAGACTGTAGAAAGACTAATGGCTTGTCTAGTTTCATTAGCTTTTAAACTCTTTTCTTCGAAGCCTGGTCAGATTTTACAGTATTTCATAGATAAAACTCACGTTCAATTTTCGCTTCGTTGCATATTCTTGTATAGTTGACTAAAGCAGCATCTTCAAGGCACTTTCGTATAACGGCACGTACCTCTTCTGGAGGAACTGGTGAGACAACGTCTTTCATAAGCACCTAAGGAGTAGGTGAAAATTTACAATGGTGGAAAATGAGAAAAAGGACAGAGAAGGAGGAAAAAAGGGAAGGAGTATAGGGTGATGGTCACCAGAAAAATAATAAAGCTGTGGCACAGAACGTTCCAGAAAAAAAAACTAGGATAGAATATTGAGCGTACCCTTTCTAAAAGTGATAGTGTTCCCTTCAAAGCACCTTCAGGACGACCAAAAGGGAAACAATATCTAAAGACATTGTAATGAGAATGTTGACATGAATATGAACTGGACTGAGTAATGCTTGCGGCGGAAAATTAAAACATACAACATTAGAACTTAGAACAAAAGACTTAGAACAAAAAAAGGAAAAATACCGACCGAAAATTTGTAATCTGCTTCTCTAGTAGCACCCGTAAACGTTCTTTGATCTCTTGAAATTTTTCCTTCTCCTCCAATGTCACCGTTCCAACACCGTCGGGTCTTAAATACTTGTTAACAGTGGTAAAAGGGTGTTTAAAAAGCAATTAGATCAGTAAACAAATAATAGCATATTGTTTAGTTTCGTATGAAAATAAACCACCTTGATATATCAATCTTGCGGTCGATGAACTTCAAATTGACGTCTAAAATGTCATCGTGGTTGGGAAATGCTCTTGATTATCAAGTGGCGGTATCAACGGAGATTTCGTATCGCCATAAGAGTTTGCCAAACTGAGAAGTTCGGCATTTTTATCACAAAATCCAGAGACGAGTAAATAAATACCAGGAATAACCAATACCCCGGCTACTCGCAAGTAGAGAAGTTACCCTTTGATCCAAAGTGTTGACCTAAAGACTCTCTACGTTAGGCTGCCTCTGCTTTCTATGGAAACCAAATACATTCACCATCAATTAACCAGCGCTACTATCTCTCATAATAGATGCTCCTTTCTATAATGTCTGGCGATACGACAAGTGGTACCAAGCGAAAAAACTCCTAAGATGCACAGGATGTCATTAAAACTGGACCGTAGCACACTCCACAGAGACCGTTTCTTCACACTGACGTCTATGTAATGTAGCTGTTTTGCATTGAATCTGATTATCGCTCGAAACATGCGAAGACTCAAATCAGCAGCGAAAAAACGGTGATCACCTAGAAAGAAAAAGCAAGCCGTTTAAGATAAGAAAGTTTTCTGTCGAAAATTATATAATTTTAGAGAATTTTAGAAAAATAGAAAATTATAGATAAGAAAATTTTCGACAGAAAACTTTCTTTGGTGAAGGGAACGAAGTACAAATTGATGATAACAATAGACGGTGTCAATAATATGCCGAAATTACATTGTTCTTTATCCAAGGATTTTCTGCCGTATCTTCCTCACCATTAAAACATTTCTAGAGAACAGAAGGCTAGTTGTAGATCTGACTCTAAAGCACCTCAGAAAATTCGTAATAAAAGTATGAAAAGACTATTGGAAAGGAAGTTAGAATTGTGAATGCAGAAGAAACAGTTGACAAAAGCTCAAAAGAGAGCAGACTGAAGATGTGGTTGTCACATCTTACGCTGATCGAACATTCCACTACCAGTTTTCATGACTGATGAATTATTTTTTATTGCCTTCCACCATAACAAAAAAATACAACGGAAACGTTCCCTTTCAACCCTTAGTTTCCCAAAACACCCATTCCAGACGCCGGAATCTTGGGGAAACTCACAGAAGAATTTTCGCTGAAGGCTGACTTCCAAGCAAAACCATGAAGATATTAATGGAGAATTGACTAGGCCATATTGCACCGGCTATTATTCGAGACGAATTCCACAAATTAGAAGCATTTCTTGCAACCTACACGACAACATTTACCCAAAAGAAAATTATCACAGATTAGTAGGGTTCTGCCACCACCTCGAAAAAAGGACGACCGAAGAGATCTTCGCCACTTGGCCCCGATAGAGTGATATCATCTCATTCAAGCTAGTCACCACTACAGTAGAATTGACAGGTTGTCACAACATTGAAAGCTAATTCTTAATAAACCGTAAGTACTAATAAAGCAAAAACGATGCCTAGAAGGCTAATCAAAAAGGAAGAAGCATAGCACTTTACGTAAGTTTAAAGAAAATTCTACACATGAAAAGCAGCCCACGGACCTCCCTCATATGAGGGAACCCGATAGCCGGTTACTCGCGAGGTTACGTGGATAGAGGGTTAGTCACGAACCAAAAGTGACCTTTGCTTCCCTGAGATGCAGGTGGATCCAGAGGATGGACTCGCTGTTTCTGCTGCGCCGATTTGGCACAAACTTTCTGTATATACAAGGCGTATTCATACACGCTTGTGTGGGAGCGTTCTAGTTTATGCATGTTGTCTCCAACGAATCAGTTCCGCCAAAAGCCTGCAATCAAGCGACAGAAAACTATGTGAGAGGTGGTTAGGAGTCGCCTCCAACAAATATATCCATGTCCACTGTGGGAGAGCATGGTAAGCTACCCGTGAGTATACCCAGCCCCCACGTTCAGAGCCCAGCAAGCTACACGTGGGTATCAAAAGGCTAAAAGCAGTAAAAGAAACGGGCCTCATTCCGCTGATCTCGAAGGAGCCCCCAAATCGGCAACGTTGGGTAGGACGAGTGCGGTTAGGCTGCTAAGACCTCAGGGCCAAAGGAAGCCGCTTGCATTACGAAGAACTATGCTGTCGATCTGTACCTACAATGCACGTACAGTTGCGTCCAAGTCCTCGATAGAAGACTTGATCATGCAAACAAGAAAGATACGTCATCGGCCTGGCCGAGACGAGAAAACGCCACACATTCAACGCCGTCTATGACACAGGAGAACAGTTCCTTGGAACTTGCGACAGTAGAGGAGTCGGTGGTGTCGACGTTGTCGCCAACACGAGTTTGTCCATGAACATCGATTCATTCAAACAACTTGCAACCCGGATCGGACGTTTATGATTAAAAAGATGTAGATCAATCCCGGGTTTGACAATCTTCGTCGTTTCCGCGCCGACAAACTATAACGAAGAAGAAGTCGATGCATTCTATATGGACTTGGGGAAGTTCTACAGAGAGCACCATAAATTCTTCAAGGTCATCATTCGAGATTTTAACGCCAAGATTGGTTCAAGAAGGTCTGAATAACGTCATATCAGGACCAACGGATTAGAATGGAACGAACAGGGTGAGCGGCTGTCCCTCTGAGTTTATCATGACGACCAAAACCATCCATGGTAACTCGCAATTCCAGAAGCGCCACACTCAAGGCATAAAAATCGCCCAATGAAAAGAAAGTACGATAACGAAATAGACCACATCATAGTAAGTCGATGGCTTTGCCTAACCGATGCCGCTGTTGTCCAAAAAGTTTACAGGGAATCTGGCCATCGCCTTCTCCTTGCAAGATTTAATTCTGCGTGAAAAGGAGAAAAAGTTGCTAAATTCAAAAACCGAAACCCCAGAACGACCACAAACTGGGACTTATTCAATTCATTATTCGGCTGTTGTGAAGATGCCGTTGTCGATAACATCGACGAAGACATGATCGGCTCATTCAACATCTTAACGTTAGCGTTGTGAAATGTGAAAGCTGGAAGTTCGAAAGTCACCAAGAGACATCTGTGTCCAGAAACACCCGAGCAGATAGGCAAGCGTAGAATTGCACAAGTTGCAAGCAACAGCGAACTAACGTCCGAACTTGCAAAACAGTGCAGACAGGAGATAAAAAAGATCTTAAAGAGAGAAAAGCAGCAGCAATGGTCGGAGTTGCAGAGGCTCGGAAAACCATTCGCAAAACCTACTAAACCTTCGCCAGTTACAAGACCAAGATAATTGCACTCCGACGCCCAGACTGAACAATAACAGCGTCCAGAAATGCAATGGGGAAAATAATCTACGGATGCTGCTCACGAATACTACTCAGATCTCTTCGATAGCCACGTCCACCTTGCGTCATATGAAATAAAGGAGGATGGATATGTTGTACCATCGGTTCTCTCTTCCGAAATCCGACATGCCCCTTCGTCGGTGAAAAATCGAACAGCACCAGGTACAGACAGGATCAGAAGACCTGACGAACCTTCCGCCAGTCCACGTAAACACATTGTGTCTCTAACGGCTCTTCATACGTTACCCGTCTCAATGCAAGGTCCCTACTCAGTGGAAGACCAGCAAGACCGTGCTATTGTTCAAGAAGGGTGACCTACACGATATCGGCAGCTATCACCCAATCTGCCTACCGTCTGTCGTCTACAAACTTTTCACTCGAGTCACTAAACAGGATTGACAGAACACTTGACGAAGGACAGCCATGTGAGGAAGTAGGGTTTCGAAGAGGGTTTAGTACGACGGGCCACAAACACACGGTAACACGGCTCAATGAAGTATGGCGAGAGTACAAAAGACCGCTCTGTCTCACTTTCATCGGTTTACAGAAGCCCTTTAATTCAATTCAGAAAGAAGCAGTCTTGAAGCCCTTTATAGTCAAGGAGTCTTTACTCAGTACAGAAAGATTCTTCGTGAGCTAAACAAAAATTTCACAACGAATGTCTCACCATTCTACAACGATATTATCATTGACGTCAAAAGGGGAGTTAGGCAAGGCAATACCATTCCACCAAAATTATTTACCGCCACCCTCCAGAACGTCATGCGAACATTAGAAAGGGACATATGGGAATAAAAATCAATGGTCGGCAGTTACACCATCTTCGCCTTGCTGATGACATCGTCTTTATAACACCAAACACTAGCCAAGCGGAACGTATGCTCGCCGACTTTGATAAAGCATGTGGAAAGATTGGTCTTCGGCTAAACCTCACAAAAGCGATGCTCATGAAGAATGGATTAGTTTCGTATGCCCTATTCACTCCCAGCAGAACGAATATCTCCGAATGCTCCAGCTATGTTTATCTTGGTCGGGATATCAACATGTTGAACGACTTAGCTCTATAGTTGAACAAAAGGGAACGAGCGGCATGGGGAGCTTTCAAGAGCATTGAGGATGTAGTGAAGAGAACAAAGAACTCCCGACTCCGTGCCCACCTTTTCGAGTCAACGGCATTTCATGCCCTAACGAATGCGACAGAAATTTGGTCACTGTGTATGCAGGACGAAAGATGAGCCAGCGTTATTGAATGCGCAGAAGAAAGGACGATGCGAGGACTATCCCGTTTCACACAAATAAGGGGAGTGATCCGAAGCCCGACCTACGTCAACAATCAAAAATGGAGATGCGGTTCTATACGCCAAACAGTCGAAGATAAGGTGGGCGGGACACGTAATGAGTATGAATGACATCTAATGGGCAAGAGCCGTTAGTGACTGGATTCCTCAAGATGTTAAACACAAAGCAAGAAGACCACCAACTCGATAGTCACAGTTCTTCATAAAAAGCCTAAAAGAAAGATTGATGCTCGACGAGTCCCTAGAGAGGGCAGAACCCACTGGAGAGCTTATACCAACTCTTGCACGCGACAGGAAAAAATGGAAGATTTACTGGGGCACGCTTGAATCACTCGACGATCAACGGGACTACAGGTGATTCAGGTGAAAAAGTTGTGGTGAGATGGAGAAATGGACCGATTAAATTATTGCAGAAACCACAATATAGATAAAGTCATGGCGTTCGATGAACATGAAACACTATGTAGGAGGAATTGCTCGCAAAACTGAGAGCACCATTAACTCAAGTCGCCAAATGGCTGCATATGATGTGGATATGCCAATTATACAAATTGAAAGAAATTTCTTGCACACACTAAGTTTTTTGCTTGCAAATCTCAAATTAAACAAGAAAGGTCAAATTATTTATACCTCATAACCTACCTGTTCCCGTGCACATGGCTGGCGCAAAAGGCGAACGAGTAGTGAATAAGCGTTGGATCAATGAGTTGACCCTGGTCAGCTTTGTCAAGCAGGTTCGACAGTAATGTCACATGGCGGTAACATCCACGAACCATATACCGAGCACAGTACTCGTCAAGTACGAACACTTGGCCGGGAGAAAACCATCCCTGAGATAAAGGACGTGCTTCATCCAAAATTTGTTACACAAATACATATTTTTTCTAATAGCAAGAAAATAATGCACAGTTGAATAAGACGGAAAAGCACTTCGCAAATTTCAATGAATGTTTTTAATTAATACAACAAATAATAACTCAAGTCTATCAACCTTGGTATGAGTAATTGATGTACTTATTTATGTGTTGCTGTGAACTGATCTTGTTGAGCTGCTGCGAGGTCGGTATAAGTTGTTGTTGTTGTTGTCGTCGTTGGCCATGCTGTTGCCAGTGGGACCCATCAGCACTCGCAGCTTATACCAACTGCGCGTCAGCCCAACGAGATCAGCTGACAAGAGCAGCAAATAATAGTTTCGGTGTTACAGCAGAATCCTACCAAAGAACAAATCGGTTCATTCATCCTGAAATTCAATGTATGTCGTTGAATCTCTGCAAACAAGTGGTCGTGGTTGAAACTGATGGGATCTGCCTGCAAAATAAGAATTGTCTTAATATCATAACAGACAAAGATTGTGATTAATTTAGAGATCCAGTTTACATGTCTAGTAAAGAAGAAAATTCAAAAAGTTGTTCTGATGTTGAAACCAATGAAAGTGTAAACCCGTGTAAACCCATTCGGTGTGGATCAATCATTGAGAACACCAAGCCATGCACCGACTTCAACAAGCATCGAAGAGGTGCTTGAATTCATATCTTGCTTATGCAATAGCTTGCATGGCCTGCTGAAGCATGAAGTCAGCATTTTCTCTCCTCGGAGACAAGTCAGGTATCAATTCCCGGACTCGGGGTAGAAGGGGAACACGGGTTTTCCAGGCGTGGGATTGAACCATGGAGCATGCAAACACTGATACTGCCAGGGGCTACTGCGCTACATGCGCCCATGTTGAAACCATTACCATTACGAAATATAAAAACAAATTCATGAAAGGAAAAATAGACCACTACTGTAAGGTCTAAATTGGAGAAATGCCTCTCTGTATCTTTATACTCTCTGCACCTACTAGAATAATTTCGTCCATTCCGTGCTTGCTAGCTTTGTCCTGGAATCCTTGCGCCTTCGGAGTCACTGTAGACTGCTTTGGTGGCACGGGTTTGTATGCTTGTCCAGTAGCACGATACAGAGCCTAAAATCGTCATCATTCCATTTGATTCATGACGGATGAATCGATAGTCGTGAAAATTTAGAATGATTGATACAAATGATGCGCACCTGTACCCACAAATGTCGTTCGTTTTCGTCATCAGTTGCGAACTTCAACTCGTCACCTTCCTTGATCGCCGTGAAGAAGTGTTTGCCACCTTGTGCTACGAGTTCTAAAACAGAAGATTTGCGTGAAAAGTAACTATTAGAAGTCGTAGTAGGATTGCACCGACCCTGAGAAAAAACTAGTGGATGGAGCTCGATAAGAACGAGCAAAGAAAAAGAATGAAGATAAAAAAGTAAACGTTTAAATCATAATTACCTCATAGCCCAATACTAAACAGTTAAATAGAGGAAAAGTTTCCTAGTCTTTGGGTAGTCTTCATTCAGAAATCATTATCGCATAGAACTTTGCACGTCGTGTTTTTTTTTGGTTTTGGTTTTTTTTGTGGTTTTTCTAAGTCATTTTTTCAAAAATTCGGACAGTAGTGGTTTCCCGATAGCAAAAGCACTACAGGATTTTGAGGAGTACAGAGCATGTGATAAATCCACTCCGCTCCTGACGATAAAAATCTCGACGAAAAAAAAAATAAGTGGATTCCAGAAAATCGGAATCACCTTGTACCAGAATATCGAAAGTAAGGAAAAAACATGCGGATCTTACTGGCAAACATTTTAAGCTTCGACGGTTTTTATTTTATTTGGTGAAGGTTAATAGGTGCTGGATAGGACAGGGTCCACAACCGTCCTGGTATTAAAGTCGCGTGGTGGCAAATCTCCTTCTGATCCACAAGGGCTGTGACTGCCTGTGGTGGTGAAGACTAGGGGCAAACTTTGGCCAGGCCGACCTCGGGATTCTAGGAGACCACAATGGCTTAACCAGCAAATATCCGAAAAATGGAGATTGTGCTGGAACCCGCACAACCAGTAAGGACGGGCTATTCAAGTATCAAATATCAAGTGACTGAGGTATGTGTTTTATGTTAAAGAGTAAATAACATTCGGCTGTGCATGCATTGAAACGCATGTTGCTGAAAGTGTGCCCATCAAATCTTCAAGCAATGTATATACAGGATACTTGTTATATACTTCATAGTGATTTGGAAATAGCTATAGAGTTTAACGTTTTGTTTTCTGCCTTCTATAATTTTCATGGCAGGTTACTAAGTAAGCGAAATACAACCACAACGTTGCTGAGATATTTGCAAAACTCTGGACCGCAGGTGTCTATGGTGGGGAACGAACGCGCTATTGTCCTTTCCGGGGAGTAACGCGTTCACCACCACACCATGCGGGTCCTTTGTTTCGCACGTCTCTCAGCTATTTCTATCGATCTTTTTGCCACAGCAATCACCCGTCAGCGGGGTTGATCTGGGGAGCGCAAATCGGCATAGAACCCAGTTAAGCTATGGCTGTAGTTGAAATCACAATGTTTAACGTTTAGCTATAGAGTGCTGTGAGCAATTACAAAAGGTCAAATTTTATGATAAACGGTTTCCCTCCTACTGTTGCATGTTTTCACTTCCAGATAAGCATATGGGATGAGTAGCGCAGTGATAATGATGCCAACCACCATGAGCATAGTGTTAATTCTACCTCGCACCGATCTCACCAAACATCTTATCTTTTCGGGGTCGGGAAATTAATGGTACTGTACTTGTGCCCGGATTTTTCGCTATCTGTAATCCAAGTGGTAATGCTCTAGCCCGGCCACCTCAACACTTGAGGGGATCAGACGAAAAATCCTCAAACGGCAGCTGAACCTACAAGCAAAAGAAACGATTCGAATGTGAGAAGTGCTTTGGATTTGCACAGTAAATGCCAAAGATGGGTCGTGTAAACGACGATAAGTATGATAGATGAAAGTTAGGATTCGTTTTCCAAAAATTATTAGCAACTGTAAAAAAGAGGAAAGAAGAAAATTTAGTATGAAGCACTATTTCTCTGTGTTAAATGTTGGCATTTCCTCAACCGATTTCTAGAAACCTTCAGTGTTGACATGACGCCTGCTTCAAATATGTCCAATAAAAGAAGGTGTAACAAACTTTGTAAAAGAGTTTCCGTTTTTTCATTCCCATTTCCCATTAAAGACTACAATCCCCACCTGTATAAAGTTAGTTAGTTAGAGTCAACCATCTCTTTTGCAGAAATATTTGTCCGATTTCAGCCCGTCACTAAGTGAAACGCACTACACACAGCTGGCGTAACGAAAAAAAAGGCACCTTGGTCGGGCTCAGGCATATAGTCGATAGTGAAGCCGTCAAGTTGAATGAACTCTGTGGGATCAGACTTCTTCTGGCGAAAGCTGCACACTGCAAATGCGTACTGCGAAACCTGTAAGAGAGGTGCTGGAAATGATCAAGACATTTAGCAGGAATATCAGCAAATTCCAGAGGAAGTACCAGTTTCATCAAATGTTCCCTGTAGAAATCTATCTCGATTGACAGTTTGTTAAGTCGTCGAAGTAAATCTTTAATTACTTAACATTATCAACCCTCCAACGGTTTACCGCCTCATATTGGCTGAGAGATGATCCTGGGTGTTGGACTGCAGTGTGCAGCGGGCCATTTATCCCTACACAGGGTCTCCCAAGCTTAGAAAAAGTCCGGCGCTTCCACTAGGAAGCCTAGCTAAGCAGGAAACTACAACGGCTAAGCCAGCAAATCTCCTAAAAATGGAGATTATGCTGGAACCCGCACAACCAGTGGGGACGAGCTATCCAAGTATCCAAGTAAGTAATATGATGAAAACGCCCTAACTTGATTGCCTATTCTAAAGAAACAGAGAACAAAACAAAATAATCGAAAAACTTCTACCTGCACAAGGCAAAAAAATCGCCTCTTCCATTTTTTCCACGCCTGTTTTCCAAGACAATAGCAGTAACCACAATATTTGAGATTTGGAGGCTTCTCAACACGAATAGCGATACGAATCTTTAAGTTTTGATCGGAGTTGTTCTTCGGTACTGTCATAGGGTACCATTCCGGAGATCGAGAGCAGTTCGGCGTCGGCTGGATTATAACCTTGAAATCAACAAATATATTAAAAGTATGAAATTAAGAAAAAGTTTGAAATAAAAGAATAAAATTCCCGACTTTAGTCGAAAACATAGAAGACTAAAAAGAATGGTGCTCGTTTTTACACCTCGTATTCAACCTAACCTTTCCAAGTTCTTTGTCTTCGAAAGAGACGATACTTTTCACCTCCGAATACAATTTCACTTTCACCACCGGTAAAGGATTCTTAGTCGAAAAATCACCCTGAGTATCCCATCTAAAAGAAAATCTAATCAGAAGAAATTCATATCCGAAAGTCAGCGATCGAAAACCTACGACGGTCGTTGAGCTTCGGCATGATCGGTTTGCAATTTGTGTCCGTCCACCTCCATCGTACAATACACAATACGATTAGGAGCAATTGCCTTTAGACCTTGTACTTCCATCACAACGACCTTAATACTTCGTTTAGAGAAATACACATAATCCTTAGTAAAAGCAGGTTTTTAATTCAATGTGAAAAAAGATGCATATCGATCGGCGTTCATTTCTAATCCTTCTGTGCTAGATTTCATGCAGAAATCACTCTACGGAAAATCTCTCATCGCCCATGTTACTGTTTTTTAGTGTGAGACAGAAAAACAAAGAGGAATCACTCGTACCTCCATGTTAAAGGTGAGTACAACGTCACTTTTGGTAAGTGTAACTTCAGCTTCATCACTGTCGTTCTTGTGCAGCGAACCCGAACTGGTTCGCCGTTTTAGGCTAAAGCATTTATCCCTTACATCATTTTCAGTAGTTCATCTACATGATGATTTACACCACTGTATTATAAAAGCCGAAGATCTAATTCAGTCAGGAAGCCATGGCACTTTTCAAGTATGCCGGGCAAACAGCTGTCACCATCACGTTACGAACAGCGCTTGCTGGCTCATACGCCCATCTTCGACGCGGGAAAAGCAATGGATCGACATCATCAAATTTAACTGATCTTCAAAAAAACATTTCAAGGATTGATGGGTAAAATCTCGATGTCGGTCAAAAACTTGCGAAAACCAAACGTGTGCGGAGCGGAAAGGAATTTGACAAGCTTGATCCATAACGATTACATAGAATTGTAATGTTTACGGGTATTCTCTACAGGTCTTCAGTGTTTTTCTATTATGCTTTAAAGAATCAAGCAATCGAAAGAAAAATCTTCCCTTTAAATTTATCTCTAATGTGGCATTAGTTGGCTTTTAGTAAAAAAAACTTTGTATTTATGGGAAAAAGTGCCAAAGAGTACAAATAAATGTATGAATGAGTCGTCAGTAAACCGCACAGGACACTTCCTCGCTATGGTTGCAATAAATTGGAAAGCGTTTGACTTCATCACAGTGTGAAATATACAGGTAAGGATAACGAACGCAATCAATACTTTCTTTGAAACCGCGATTACGACATTTTCTCCTATAAGATCCGGAGATTAATATATAAATAAATAAATAAATAAATAAACATATGTACATGTACTTGTATATATGTGTATGTACATGCGTATATATGTATATATCGTGCGCGTGTGGGCGCAGTGGTCGGAGGTGCCCTGCAATACGCACATGGAATCAATCCCCGCGTTTGTGGCTCAACAACCATTCCATTCCTCCGGATTCCCAAATAATGTGAGTTTCTATTTATGAACACGTGGAACCTATCCCCGTGCCCGTGGCTCACCATCCCTCCGGGTCTGCGAATTGGTACCGCACTTGTCTGGGAGGTTAACAGCACTGGCTCTATGCATCGGTAAGCCACCGCGAGTCATTGTAAAGGTCAGATACGCACTCAATCACCTCTAACGATGCTTAATGAGTCGATTTCAAGGCGCATCCCTAAGGAAATTATCAACGCCGAAAGCTTTGTCCTTATATATATATCTATAATATATATATATATATGTTGGTAACAGTACAGTTGTAATGATGCCTTTCAATGCGCGCAAGGCCCTAATTTGACCTGACCGCGACCTAGGCCACCTAAACCGTCCCAACAATCTGAGGTTAGAATATTTTTACCAGACTTGTCCTGTCATGTCCTTCAGTCAATCGACAAACGGTAACGAGCGTCTGTGGAGAATCATTACCACGGCCATCCAACGAATCAAGGGATTACCGACTCGAATAATATTCGTTGCCTCTCAACGGCTCCAAGAAACTAAGTAGGACTCAAAAACGCTCAAAAAAACCCCAAATGCCACCAAGCACCTGCAGGACCCAAATGAATTTATTGTGGACAGTGGATGAGAGTAAACGAATCGAATTCAATGTGTAACGTTCAAAACGTGTGATATTGAGTCATGTAAAATCGAAGAAAAAATGAAATACTAAAAATAGAATTAAAAAAGCAGCGAACACCATAAATGACAAGGGGCGACTCTCGGTTTTATTATATTTGCTAACCAAAGCATCTACATTCAACATGCTTCAAGAAAAACCGCAAGAAAAGCTCAAACAATAGCTGCACATTTCTTTCATTACGCGTAAAGCCGAGCAGTGGTCAAAGCGTGAACGAACACCGTAAAATAAAAAACGATGATGATAAAGCAAAATATAAAACCGAGCAAACCTGTTGAATAGTGAGAGATCCTCTATGCTTCGCGATCTAAAAATGTAATAGAATCACGTAATCAGCTTAGTGATGCGATTTCGTGCCCATCGCATTCGAATATTCGAATGCTTTCGACTATTCGTATACGATCGAACGGTGGTGAGTGATATAATAGGTTAGTGAGTGTGATGGTTTTGTACTGAAAATGTGTGCAATCGTGCGTAAGTGCACGTGAAATTCGACGTCGTGCATATACATGAATATACAAGGATGAATAAATCGGTGAAAACAAAGAAACACAAAAAAATGAATGAGAAATCGTCGGACGTTCATTCAACGACAACCACATCTCGCGAGAATGAAATTGGTTATTAATTTTCTCCAAAGTGGTCAGGTCTTCAATAATTTATCGAGTGGTAGATTCCCTAATACATTCGCAATTCGTGGCAGTGACACCTACTAACTACACGTGACTCATATCGTCCACTCTGTCCACCAAAAATGACTATCGCATTTTGCGTTTTTTCTCTACAATTCCATTTCCCTGCATAATTTGCGGCTCTTCCTCGGTTTCTTTTGTTCGGCGTATCTTCCGTAGTCATCTACGTTTCTTTCCAATTTTCACAACATTTCTTTGATACAGATTATGCTACCTCGTTGAGAATACCCTATTTTTATGTACCAGCGTATGTTTTCTAAGCTACTTGTACAATGTTCCACAAAGGCTATTTGCAGATTTCCTCCTAACAGCTGGCTCATGTTTTTGCTTCAAAGTTAGTTTGAAAGTGTTTGTAATATCTCTGTATGTCCACAGCTACACAACCGTAATAGGAATGATCACTTCAGCGACATCATCCTTTAGTCACTCTAAATTCACTATTTTTATAAGATGGTGATGATATTTCTTCCTCCTGATCTTTTCCGCTAATCTCTCCTTAACAATTATGGTCATACTGGTCTTGCATCATCGATGAAATTGAAGTTACTCTTAAATCCTCATATATGCCGTAAATTGTTACTCTCGTTATTTCATAATCGTTTTAATATTTATATGTAAAGGTATAACTACCCAAGTTTTGGGTTCACTCTGTGGCATCCATCAAAAAATCCTACTTCGCACTTCATAAGGATTCGAATATTCTATATTGAACTGACTAATACATTTGCTGCTGCATCGGCTTTTGCCATATTCCAATAAAGCAACTAATCGCCGTTGATAGACACATAGCTTATTGAGCCCAAGGTAACAGGATCATCCAGATGGCTGTTTGTTAATGAATTAGCACGGATCTTGTATGTATATGCATATGTGCGTACTTCTATGTATTGTCATGGAGTAGTACTGGAACATTCAATTTGGTTCAAAAGTTCTTATCTGAAAAGTGATTCCCTTCAGTGAAAACTTGTCTTCGAACATTCGATTTTCCCTAAGTTTTATTTAATATGGAGAAACAGCTGCTTTCACTTCATGGTTCGAAGGCAATTGATAGATGAAGTGAAATGGGCGTCCGACGCAGCGACAGCGAAATGGAAGATTAAGTGCCGAGAGCAAAAATGTGACAGACACATATACAGAATGATAGGGTGAGAAGTGCGATCGGCCCAAATTTCTCAGAAAAGTTATTTTTCAACCTACCGTTTGGATTTGGAAGCACTGCTGAAATATGTAGAACTAAACGTCGTATAACAATACGGTGGAATCGTTAAGCAAAAAAAATGTACAATGAAATAAAAGTGGAGGATCCGAAAGAGATACAAAAAAAGTTCATGAAACCATGAAAACATCAAATGGAAAATAGTTTAACAACTTCCACGAATTGTTTTCAATTCTCCAAAATAATGGACGAGATAAGCTTATTTTGCAGTTCGAACATTTCTTTGGCGCTAGAGAAAATTTATCACAAGCAAAGCGGAAGGGTGAATGTTGTGTTCGAAAGACCTAGACATGGCAGACAATTCACCATCTATTTTCAGACCGATTTAGTCACTGATTCAGTGGCTTGCAAAATAGTGCTCACAAATAACCTGGGCAGGACTAAAATTGTTCATGGCATCCTAAAAGGTTCTCACCGTGACTTTTCTTTTCGTTTGCCAACTGCTTGCCCGCGTGGTGTGACCGGCACCGATTCCAGATTTGAAATCAACAGATTGATCGACTGTCGAACTTCATCCATGAACAACGTCTCCATGTCTTTCACCACAAATTTTGGCATGATCTTTCGCATCTGAGAAATTAACTCTTTCAATACCCAACTAATGTATAAATAAACAGCTTATTTGATCAGCAGAAGGTTGCATTCTTTCCAAAATGCATTGATTCAACCACTGAAGCATTTGATCCCCTCGAAAACAAACATTGGAATGTTGAAAAGAGACTTCTATTGTTTTTTAGCCGCCAGAAATTTTTATGAAAATACTGAGAAACACTAAAATAGACAGGTCTAGCTTTCGCTGATACAACATGGTCACTTGACAACCTTATGAATGTCCCTGCAAGCTTCCTCCCGCGTTGTCACCTCACGTCGAATTGCCGCCGCTTGTTCGTCTGGATTGTCAAGCTGCAACGAAGTCTTAAATAACGAGTACTTAGAAAAAAGAAGACGTTTCAGTGTTCAAGTGACATTTGCTCTACTTTCTACGACTTTCCATTCATTTTTTCTCCAATTCTACCACCATTCTGCTTCCAGATGGCTTCGATTTAATCTATCCCTGATAACCTTTCAAACGGAATGTGCTTAAGAATAACGTAAGAAATGCTAAAATAATGCATTTTTATGCTCTAATAATATCTTCGCAACATAATAAATGCTTGGTAGCAATCCGGTGTTGACTTGTCACTGAAATGATATACATTGATCATTCATGCCGAGGTTAAGTGCCGATTGGTTTAAAACATATTCATTCTCTAATCGCTATGTGCTAACTAACGTAATGTTGACTGCTGCAGGATAGATTGTCCATTTAAAAACAAATTCTTATCAACGGAGAATGTCAACTGTCAACAACAACAACAACCATCTTGCATGAAGAGCGTTGCGAGGCGACTATGGCTCATTCGAGCTGTGCTCCCCTGAAAAAGATACTACTCGATAAGAAGATGAAGACAGTACATCGAGAAGATGAACGACTGTGGACCATCGACTTGGACCATTTGCTCAGAGTAAGACGAAGACGTCGAAACTTTAGCCGAGTAAATGCTTTGTGACAACCTCGTATTAGCTTGTCAGTGAAGTAACGGACACATTCGTAAATTCAAGCACAACACACAGGCATTTAAAAACTAGCTAAGGCAGTCTCGATAGAGCGGGATTTCCGATAACTCGCATAATATCTGGATAGGTCAACATACAGGAGCTTGAAAGCATGGGGACGTTGGTATATTTTCTGAAAAGTGTATACTCTCTTGATTTTAGTGCATATGTGGCTAAAAAATCGAGCCTCCCAAAGTAAGACAAGCATACCTCGGCTCATAGTGAACTTCGCTGAAAAAACTACAAACCATTAGAACCTAACAATCTTTGTGAACAAGCTACAAACATCACTATCCTATTATAATTAAATTCTGACTTTCTAGATCACAAAAATCTTTTTTTGGTCAGACCTAACTTTTCAAGCAGCGAAGTAATTGAAGAACCATGGCTTTGTCCAGCAAGTCATGATTGAATCCGCGAAAACGTAGTCAATAAGAGTGTTGGCCGTGTGTGTTGAAAATTTTACAAAATATGTGCAATACTGCAATACACAATCGTCCTGAGATATGTAATAGGCAGTAAATTAAAAGCTAGCATTGCGATTTCGACTTTAGCATCAGCTTAACGGGGTTCACTACCGATTTCGGCTCTCCAGATCAATCCTATTGACGGGTGACTGCTGATGACACTGATCGATAGAAAACTAGCTGAGAGACAGGCTAAACGAAGCACCTGCATGGTTCGATGGTGAACGCGTTAGGCCCCGGAAAGGGTAATAGCGCATTCGTACTCCACCACAGACACTTGCGGTCCGGAGTTTTGCAAAATCGCAGCACCGCTGTGGTTGTATAATACCCTGCCGCGAAAAATTGTAACACGCAGTAGGTAGAAAATTAACACTTTACAAAATACTTGTTCTATTAGCAACTTTTGGCATTTAAATTTGAAAAAACATTAAAAAAGGAAATTATGTTCTAGAAAGTTTTGGTTATTTACGTGCTTTCGGCAAGATGAGGTAAAGCCTCTTCTACGAGTCTTTTAAGCTTACAACATCACAACTCCAATAGTTAGTGAGAAGTTATTACCAGTCAGGAAAAAACTAGTACGTCCGCATCTTAAAATAGTTTGAAATCCACAACTTCCAAAAATTTAAAAACGAGTTCACAAAATAGCAAAGTTGTGGGTGATTTGATGCATCGCTATTTGAGATACGACAGATTTGACAGGGAAGATGAGCGAAAGAAAAACCAGTGGCCTTCTGACTTGTGGAAAATAGGATTTTTCGGTACTCCTATAAATCAATGCACACGTGTGTTCAAGAAAGTTAATAGTAGAACAATAAAATGGAAAACTTCACGAAATGAAAGTAATGACCAGTATAAAACTACAACAATAACTGTAAAATGAATGGAATCTCAGGGATGGAAGAAAAAGAGAAACAGATAGGAACAAAGAGAGAGGAGGAAAGGGCGAGAAGGAGGGAGAGAGAGGGGGAAGAAAAATACAGCATAAACGAACACCTCACCTGCAATGCGTTGAAGATGATCTGATGTTCAAATTTCTTAACGGAAAGCACTTGTTGAAACATATCGTAGAGCTGGTCTTTACCTAAGATGAGGTCAGCATTCGGTTGGCTGGGCGCGTTTCGATTTCGACCTCTGGAAGAATCCTACGAAAATTGAGTACAGAACACTTTTGCTTGCTTATAAATTAGTTCGACTGTAATGTATTAACGCTGTGATATGAGCAGAACTCAAAAACTCAGTTGACCTTCGAACCCGCGATCACCCTTAACGGACGCTCATCTGCATCCATCACACCAACTAGGGCCATGGCTTTTTCTTCCTCTAGAAAGGAAAGGAAATGGAAAGCAAGGGCCTCTGTTGGTGTGGTGGATAGCTCGTGAGTTCGAGGTAACTGAGTTGAGGCAAGGGCAATCGCAGGTTCGAAGCCCAATCTCAGCAAGATCAGTTCATAAGAACATATGAATAAATATAACGATTATTTATGCCGTTTCTTGAGTTATTTGCACATCGTTGAACTCTTTCTTGACTAGTCGTTCCCAAATTTTCTTAAGAATGCAAGCAATAAACTATAAAAACCCTTGTTGCTTCCATTAATGTTAGAAGAACGATTTCACTGCGAATCCAAACAATGAAGTGGCCAATTTAACCCAATCGGCAACAGAAGTTACTTATTGATTAAATGCTTAAACCCATCTTCAGACAACCATGTCAGCAAAAAATAGAACAGAGGAAAACAGTTGAACATATAGTGTTATAGATGATTAATTTAGAAATGATGTAGAATATAATGGAAGCACCTACCTCGTACTCCTTCCCTGACTGTCGTGGTCACCTTTTGTGATAGTGTCAAATTTAGTCAACCACGAGTTTAAAACCGTTTCCTTGGAAAGACCTTCGATCTCTGGAAGCGATCGAATTCGCTTTTCGACGTTACATCGAAATACCTGTAACACAGTGAAGCCAGAGATGCATGAGGAGCTGATCCACTGATTATGTATATCATTTCTGCATCCCACTAACCATAGAGATTTTATAAGAAGAGAAAGATTGTCAACATGTCAGTCAGAAGGACTGTCAGAAAACTAGTAGATAGCTAGGATTAAGAAGGTCGATAGCACAGTGGTAGTGATGCCCGTCATCAGGAGTATCGTGTTGTCCCACTCCCGTCCGAGGTTCACCAAGCCTGTCATCCCTTCGAGGTCGGAAAATTGGCGACGGACTTTTCCCGGAAAAAGTCACTCTCTGCAATCCAACTGGAAGCGTTCCAGCCCTACTATCTCAGGAGTTCAGAGAGAATCGATTCAACCAGCATTCTAGGACATTCAAGATGAAATGAAAATCGTCAAGCAGTAAGCGAAGCCACACTTAAAGTTAAAAGGTCTTCGTGGACAATGGACGCATGGAAACGAATTGAATGTGGAAAGTGCTGGGATCGGCACCAGTAGACGTGAAGATGGGTCAAATAAAATGAATAAAACTAGGAGTAAGCGATAAATTTTTCACGTTAAAGAAGCTTCTTCGGAGAATTCCGTTTCCTAGTGCAATGATGCAACAAATATTCATATCTTCATGAGAAAATGAAGTCATGTATTGGATAAGTAGAAATTTCAAGCATAAACATGAGTCTGAACACACATTCTTTAAAAATGGCCCACATAACATAGGTTGGATCAAAAGAAAGCTATATGTGTCACTTTAGAGTTGTGGTCAGCTGTGTAGACAGTATCAGCCGCTCCCCCTTTAAGCGAACTCATATATATTCTAACAAATTATCCATTCGTCCTTGTGACAAACCAGATTTCCAGAGTGAGTTCTGCTTACTCCGCGTTCCTGAAGAGCATTTTTGTTCTACAATTCCGCTAAAGAACTCTGACCGTATTGTTAGTGTTTTCCCTATTTCCCACTAGGCATGCCACCCAGTTCCTATTACTTCTTCTTAAAAGTTAAAACACACCGAGTGCCCGACCTGACTGATTCTCGATATCTTTACCTATAAAGCGGAATATCTAAGAAATGTTTCTCAATATAACTCGGAGCTTTGGTTTCTCTCCAAGTCTTCCTAATAAGAAGAATTTCTACTTTCACCTCGAAAGCAACAATACTGGTTACATCGTGATAACATATTGTCTTAGTATATGGAACGCAAAACAAGCCAGAAAAAAACAGAATAAAAAATTTAAAGGCTGATTTGGGCATTCCTTGTCTTTTCTCCCCTTAAGCGTCTTCAAGCAGTTCATATCTCTAGTTCTACCATCTCAGTAAGAGGTCTCGGGTCAGTTAGCCGTGCCAATAACGCGCACTAGAAGCTACCATGCAGTTGCCTTGCAACGAAGTTGGTTTTGTGAATGTGATTTGTGAATACCTCTCTTTGGTGTTCCGGACTGCTTATACTTCCCGTATCTACGTGGACGCAGTCACGCAGGTGTGAGTGTGGATCTTGCTTGCAAGTAGACTGTATTTTGAAACAATTCAAGAAGATATTGATTATTAGTACCGAGGTTGAATGACGGTCGTTTTGAAAACTATTGTACTTTGAAAGTTGATCCGATTAAAAACCTGCAATCGAGTGACAGGGAAAATGTTAGGAGTACTATCCGTATTCGCCACCGATAGAGAATCATAGGCATGTCGTCTAAGGAAAAGGAATACAGCTTATTTATAAGTGTGTACTATAGAAAGCTGAACATGGATATACCAGGCCGTTGTTTAAAAAAAAAGGGTCCAAACAATGCACCATGACTCCCTTCTTACTGATGTTTATAAATCGAAATAAAACTGTAACCATTTGTAAAATCTTGCTAAGAAGATGCAAGATTTCTTATTCTAACGAGGGGAAACTGTGATTTCATAGAAAGAAAGAACAACTTTATCAGCGGCAATCGCCTTACAAAGGACGAAAATCTCTCCCAAATACGTTGTTGTCCATTGACATAACTCTTTCTTAGTTTTTATTTCACAGATCCGACATCACATAATGTGTGGCTCCAAGCACTTCTTGCATTCGATTAGTTTCTTCGAAGGCATTTGGGTTTTTTGCATGAGGATTCATTTTCTGCTTCAGGATTTTCTGTTTTCTTCAAGAATAGCGCTGAATGCTGTGCGACTCATTTCTACCTGAGATCCTGTAATAAGTCGATAGCTGTGATAAGCCGTCCCCATATCGTCATCATGGACGAGCCCCATTCTCTGCATTAGAGGGTGCTAGCTGATCCCACGCGACTCTTGTGCCAATTTCTCGACCGACTTCGGATAGATTGGAGACTTTGGGAGTCCGGTGCGGAGTCGAAGCATAGCGTTACTCGCACAGAACGAGTATCACTATCGGTAAGTACCTGCCTTAATGTTATCGTAATTCCACTACAAGATCCCCATTTTCAATGATAATGGCGTTCTTTAAAATATAGAGTGACTATGCACACTCTTAGAACGATAGGACGAAGTTCAATAGGTCGAAAGTGACCTTAAGTCCTCGAGCACTCCAGTTGTAAAAAATTATGGAGAGTTGCCGAAGAACTGATATAATTCCTATCATGTTAGTGAATTTTTGCTTGCTCTAGGCTACAACATTGCGATGTCTCAGGTCAAAACACGCAGTTACTTTTGCATCGATATGGTAGAATGTCGACAAGATAATGTGAGAAAAGAATGCGAATTTGAGGAGTTAGCTAAAAACAGGAGAAATCAGCAGAATGTGCTGAAAAACAGAGAGGCATCGTTGAAGGTGCGATGTTCGAAAAATGGAATGAAAACCCTCACTTCTCGAAAATCATGCATTGAGAAGCCGCCAGCAGCTACAACCTTTTGGACCCGCTCTGATTTGAGGAAAACCTGAACATTGCAGATAGAAATTCCCAGTGGAGATAACAAATATTTCTTGTGCATTATATCAGTGAGAACAAAAGAAGGACAAAAACATTAAAAGTAAATAAATAAATAAATAAATAAATAAATAAATAGATAATAAGGTAATAAAATAATAATAATAATAATAATAATAAAACGACAAAATAAAATAGGAATAAATGAATAGCATAAATAGTTAACATAATAATAACAACAAGTATAACATAACATAGCATATAACATGTAACATAGATAACATATAACAAATAATTACTTACTTGACATTTGAATGGTCCGTCCTCACTGATTGTGCGGGCCCCGATTTTCGGAGATTTGTAGGTTAAATCATTATGGTTCCCTGGAGTCCCGAAGTCAGCATCGCCAAAGTCTGCCCCATAACAAATAATTAATAATAATAAATAAAGAACAGGGGTAGTAATATCCATCATCACGAACGTCGTGCTAGTTCGATTCCTCTCCGGTCCAACCAACCCTCTCATTCCTCTGGAGTGGGGAAATTGGTACCGGACTTCTCTGAAAAAAAATCACCCTCTGCGATCCAATTGGAAGCGTTCCAGCCCTGCTATCTCAGGAGTCCAGGAAGAATCGACTCAACCAGCATTCTAGGACATTCAAGATGGAATGAAAATTCAAGCAGCAATCAAAGCCACACGTGAAGGTCGGATGATCTCAGTGGTCAATGGATGCAAGGAAACGAATCGAATGTGGGAAGTGCTGGGATCCGCACAGTAGACATGAAGACGGGTCATATAAAAAAATAGAAAATAATAGTAAAATAAAACAAATGTTAAAATAAATAAAAATACTTCTTGGTAGGACACATAATAAGAGAAATTTGACCGTGAAGATAGCATAACTATATTTAGAAGTCCGCGAATTTCACGAACAGTACGGTGTTCATCACTAAACAGCTAACCAGATTTTTTCCACTGGTTCTGTGAGTTTTAAAAGTTTTTCCAAAAAAAGAGTTCTTGTAGAATGTAGAACAGAAATTTACTGAACTAGAGAATTTGCTTTGACTAAATTGACAGTGGAATTTACAGTGCTACCGTGAAACCACAAACCTCGAAGTAACTGTGCATAGCTTTGGCGAAGGCTTCGTCTGTCACGATATTCGTCTCGCCTTTGAGAAACGCTTGAAATCTGAAACACGTGCTGACTCAGTGAATTAGAAGAAAGAAACCTGTCTCTCTGGGCTTTTAACAAGTTTTGTCTTTGCAGTACTTCATATGATGACACGATATAAGCTATAATATGGCAAAAAACCTGTCACAATAATTAGAGCTTATTCTGAGATCGCTTCTTCACTTGGTTCCATATTAATCCGCCTTCTTTGAATTTGCTACACCTTCAGTTATGTTACTTTACTTCATAGTATATTAAAGGTTCACAGTCTAACTTCTTGAAGCGGCTTTTTGCTCACAAATATCGTAGTTCTCTCTTAAAATAATTTTTAACCCTCACTAAATAAAAGTGAGAGTGAAGTAATCCATGTGCAGTACCTCTCCTTAATCCTAGATAGGTCACTTTTGGTAACCTTCACCTGCCGGCGGGCCATGTCAGTCGGTTGCTTCGCGTTGAAATGATACGCAATGCATCGTGCGACAAACACGTACATTTGCAAGTTCTTCTTGTGTTCTTCTTCCTCTCGTTCGGCTCTGTATGAACCAAAAACGTAAGAAATCCTTGAAACAGAAGCCTTTTGTTAGTAAAAGGCCAATTAACCACTTCTCATTACTAAAACTATGTGATGTTTCATCGAGAACTACTTCGGAAGAAAATCTGTAGTACTTCAGGAAAAGGCAAAGTAATGAAATTGCTGTGTCTCACCTGTTGCTTAGATAAAGAATAAAAACAGGAATGACCAGATAACAAAATGTAAAAAGAATTCCTTACTGAAAAGCTTGCGATAAAATGACATTATCAAAAAGATGATTCACTTAGGAACTTCGATTATGGTTATGGTTCGATTATTTCAATAAGACCATATTATGGGGCAGATAGCACAGGGGTAGTGGTGTCCGTCATCACGAATACAGTACTAGCTCGATTCCGCTACGGGTCAACCAAACCCCCATTCCTCTGCGGTCAGGAAAGTGGTACTGGACTTGTCTGGGAAAAAACTCTTCGCAATCCAACTGGGAACGCTCCAGCCCGGCTATCTCAGGACTTCAGGGGGAATTACTCGACCAGCATTCTACGACATTCAAGATGAAGTGAAAATCCTCAAGTAGTAACCGAAGCCGCACATAAAAACTTGGAAGACCTTCGTGGACGATGGATGCGAGGAAAGGAATTGGATGTGAGGAGTGCTGAGATCCGCACAGCAGACGTGAAGACAGATCAAATAAAATAAAAAAATAAAACCATAGAGATCTTCATAAACAGAACCGTGAGAAAATGAGTACAATTAAAATATGACATTATATGAAGATGAAGATGAAGTGAAAGCAACACATATTATTATTAAATGTAACAAAAAGATGACTTTACACTACCTGTACTGAAGTATTACGAAATGAAATAGCGATAGATGATCTACTTACCGTAACCGTTCCTGCTCCTCTTTACTAAGGTTCGGTTCATCGCTGACCATGTGGGTTGGGGCGTCATTTTCATAGTCGTTGTCGGAAATTTCTTGAGAAGACTGTAACATCGGCCGTGACACGGTGGAAATCGTGCGTGCCTTCAAACATGGACACATTGATCCGAGACGATACGAATAACTTCTGCCCATAAGTCGAGTGGCAACCAATTCATAACAAGATAAATCAATAAGCAGCCGATAACGGTCTGCTTATTTTTAGGCACTCTGAAAAATTTAATGACTGATAAACCCAGAGGAATTATAAAGGAATGCTGGGTGCCCCAGAGGCTACTGTAATGCTAACTAGATATGTCATCCATTATTGGCTACAAATACAGAAATTCACATGGGTCATACATGCATACATAATTCATGTTACAAAATCAAAATGATTAACAACCCATTTCCAGAGCTTATCAAGAGGAAGCAAGCGGCTCGGGAGTGCTATAACAGCATTGAGAACCAAGTAACGAAGACAAAGAACAACCAACTTCGCACCAAGCCTTTCACCTCTACGATTCTTAACACTATAACCTACGCTTTAGAAATGTAGACAGAAAGAGAAAAAAAAAGATTTTTCACGCGGGCGCAGCATCGTACGTTACGCGGTTCCCAGCGCTTTCCGCATTCGATTCGCTTCATTGCATTCTTTATCCACGAAAGCCTTTGAATTTTGTAGGTTCAGGCGCTGAATTAAGATATTTGGTCTTCTTCATGAATGTCGTTGACTGTTCGTCGACTTGATTTTCTCTTAAATCTTGGAATAGCCGGCGCAGAGCGCTCGCAGATCTTCATCACGTAGAGACTAGCTTTTGTGATTGCACGATGACAGCGTATTTCAGACGAGTCTGGTATTAATTTCCCACCTCGGTTGGATGTTGTTTTGTGATACCATGGTGAGGTCGACAAGAAACTATGCAAGAGCGAATACCACCCCGTGTCCTTTGATGCACAATCGAGATGATGATGCAATAAGCATTTTCTATTTCGAAAAAGATAGAACAAAGCCGACTCCGATCTTGGCTAATTGTCGAGGACTGGAAGTGTTACCGTACGCTGTAAGATGTAAAAAAAATTAGCTGGGCCAGGTATATGGAACGGCAACCGTTGAACAAAAATCGTTTCGAAGCATGGAATATCAGGAGCACAACAATAAGATAGTTAAATAGATGGTCGTTATAATGGTTCCTGAAGAATATTTAGATGTTCCCCTTGTTCCTTGAGTGGGCAATGCCCACACTGACGAGTAAACAATTTATTGCTGCCCATTTGAATCCCTTAACGATTATTTAAAGGACAGGTGACATGGGTGATATATACTAAAGGATGTGACTTATTTTTTGTTAAACACATTGATAGATCGTACATGGTTCTGGAATGCCTATTTTTTCCATCATTCATATCTAAAACGAAGTAAAAATAGATCAGGCAGAGTCCAATGACGAGAATGAGGTGATAGCCCACAGAAGCTGATGGTTTTTTGCCACATGAGAATTGGAAATGAGTGTAATGAACACTGTTAAATAAGAAAGGACAGCTTTGACCTGGAACGGATTGGTTAGTAGATCTGCGCTCAGTATATTAGAAAACAGTTTTTTCTCGGTGTATTGTGAGTTCCGGCGAACTAAACGTCCGAAAGGAGCAGTGTCTTCGACTGGATGGACGAATAATCTTTCTCAGCACGAAGATTGATACTGTCCTCAAAGAACACCAGTCGTAAAGCAGTAAGCTTCAATCAGGCTGACAAAGAACAGCAAATAAATAAGTCCATGAGAAAGATATGGGGAAGATCTCCGCACTCTACTTCACAGCAGTGAAGAGGTAAAACCAGGTTTGCATAATATTGATTATGCTCTTCGAAAAAGAATATGACTGATCATTAAGCACAAAGAGAAAACGGAAAAGAAATCAACGTCTTCTATGGTCGACGTTTTCAAGAGAATGAAATGAATGGAAGGAATGGTGGAACTCGCATATCCGCATGTCGCATGAGCATTATCCATCTAGGCATTCAACTGAAATTGGGATAATAACACTACTGAAATCGTAGAGCTCCATGAAATAGCAGAGGAATAAAAATTGAGAAAGAATGGTGAAGACGTAATGGAAGATTTAGAATAGAATTCTGTGAAGTAATCAGCAACACGCTGTTCTCGATTGCTTGAAATTTATTTACTTTTAATACGCAAAGCTTTTTGAAGACATCCAGTTGAAGGAAAAGAACTTGCCTTCCGAGGACAATAGTAACAAGGACGATGTGAGTTTGTGAGGATCACAAAGATAAAAACACAGACGATACTTCCCCAAGGAACTTGAATTTTGGGAGGAAAATAATCCTTAGGAACCTTTTCAGGTTGAAATCACGTCAACATATTTAGAAATAACCCGAAACCCTGGTAAGTAATTTAAAAGAAGTTGTGTAATTGTCAGCGGTGTTATTGTAACAAACATCATCAAATAAAAAATTTGTGGTCCCTCTGGCCCATGGGAAACTAAAAAGATGCGGAGTGCAAACCCAACGCAAGAAACCGACATCAACCAAAATCAATACAATCCTTATGACAATATCTTTTCTCTAAGGCTGCAGAATAAAATCGTTGACTTTCATTGGTTTGGTGGTTTTTGGTGCTTCGTTTTTGGTGTGGTTTCATTTCTGCACGAAGTTTTGGTCCCACCATTCAGTCACTAGGTCTTTTGCGGGCACGGACATTTTGGTCTCCTTCCCTCATCTCCGTTGTGAAATCCTAGTTCACGATGTTTTCCATGTTCATGTTCTCTGAGCGTCCAAGGTGTATATATATCGTCCCAACGGTTTACCGCCTCATCATGACTGGGAGGTGTTCCTGGGTGTCGGACTGCGATGTACGGCGGTGGGATTCATTCCTCTGGCGGGGTCCCCTAAGCTGAGAAGGAGTCCGGCGTTTCCATCAAAAAGCTTAGCAAAGAGTAAACTACTACCGAGATCCACCGCAGTCCTGGTATCAAAGTCCCATAGTGGCAAATCTCCCTCTGGTTCACAAGGACTGCGACTGCCCGCGGTGGTGACGACCCAGGGCAGACCTTGGCCAGGCTGATCTCGGGATTCCGGGGAACTACAGTGGGTAAACCAGCAAAACTCCGAAAAATGGAGATTATGCTGACGCCCGCACAACCAGTGAAGACGGACCGTCCAAGTATGCAAGCATCCAAGAAACTACCACGAGCTATACCAATCTGAGTTGTAGGAAATGACAAAAATGATTATGCTACACCATACCGACGTATTCACTCATAGGCTGCTCAGTACATTGGCGACTGCCTGTGATGAAGAACTGGGAACGCCGCAGGTGCATTATCCCAGGATTTCAGGGAGAATCTACTCGATCAACCCTTAGCGACATTCACGAGAAGGATAAAATCCTAGGAAAAATCAAACGCGAAAGGAAACCTGAAAACCTTTGCGGAATATAAAATAGAGAAAGAGAATTGAAATCAGGAAGTGGTAGGTTCGCAGTTTATTTGTAGTCGGGTTGTGTAAAATAAGAAACAAAAATGAATTCATAACTCTTGATAAATCTTTTCATGCTACCACGATAACAATTTGTCGCTTCACCAATCCGTGTAGTATTAAATAGTATCGAACACGGACTTCAGTACTATTCAATATGCTCACCGATCTGACAGGTGTCTGACTATGACATGAATCTTTCCGGCGATATGTACTGGTGCTGTTATTCCTCTTCAGTGAATTCGTCTGGCTCACTGAATCAGAAGGAGCCGGTGATGCCGAGCGTGGAGAAAGCTGCCCGAACACCGAGCGTTTCTTGACCGCGTAGGTCAGCTAAAATATAATTTTAAGCACGAGATCACCATGAAATATCATCCTATGTCACATCGTTATTCTCAGAATAAGAGACAAACTGTGCTGACATGTAAACAGTTTGGTAAAATTCACTATTCCCAAGACCGATATGCTGACGCCCGCACAACCAGTGAAGATGGGGCCCATGTAGTACTCTGTGCGATTGCTATCCACCAACTAACTTAAATACTTACAACAAATAAACGGAAGGTGTTTAAATAAAGCTGTTTCTTATGCGAACGCAAATTTATTTGTTAAGTTTTATCTGCTAGGGTTATGAAAGCGTTTGGCTGAGTAGATCGAATGCCAATTTGACCTTTCCAGGCTCAGAAGAAGGCGAAACCTCTGAAACATCAACTATCGCATCCTAATAAATTCTACCATGCACTCGACTTCATTAGGCATCATTAAAGGTGACTGAACCCATATATGGCCTATACAGTGACTCGTGGTGGCCTACTCATGTCTCGAGTCTGTGGCTCTATACTCGTAGACAGGTTTAGCAACAATTCGCCTAACCTGGTCGAATGAAGGGTCTGAACAATTTTTTCTACTTCTGTTCAGCAAACAGGAGGTGCTACCCCATCTCCAAATTTACGTACAAGCTGGCGTTTCGGCGGATTTCGCCTTCCCCAGCATAGAAAGGTCAAGCCGACAGCAATCCACTCCACCAAACACCTCCATAACCAAACAAAGAAACTCCAAACCAAGATTTCAATCACATTTAACATAGCCCTGCACACTCACCGCTTTCTATGAGTCTTCCACTATGTTGCGTGAAGACGAACCGCAAAGAATTCACATGGAAGCGTAATGTGCCCCTCCTATCAGAATAACAGGCTTATATACCGTCCGATATCACGCGTGATAACGAGGCATTCCTCCCTGCGGTTCATTTTCGGATTCTTGGAATTAATCCAGAATGCCTCGAGAGTTTTGCGCGCTTGTGTTCTTGATTTCTGCGCGAGGATCGTGTTCGGTCCTATGAGTGCCTAGCGGGGTATTTGGTTAATGTTTGCCGGCTAGGTGTTCCTTTATGCGGACACAGAGGGGTCTGCCCGTTTCGCCAATGTATTCGTCTCCGCACGCCTTACATGAGATCAGATAAACTATACCCGAGTTCATGCAATCACCGTCTTTACTATTGGAGCAAATTATGCAATTTTGCGTTGCACAAAGACGGTCATGCAGGCGGTTACGAACCAGCTGCCGCCTAAGATTACTCGGTGGTATTTTAACTACGTTTATCGAATTCTCTAGACCCGCCCTTTTTAAGCAGCGTTTTGTAGCTGCACTTACATCATTTGAGATGAACGGTAGGATAAACGGGACCTTTTTATCGCTAGAGTTGTCGTTTGGGGCTTCCGATTTCCCCTACACCTATCCCGAGCTACAGTTTCGTAGCCATTGGAAATGGCTATTTGCCGCGCCAAGTTCCTGGACTGCTCTCTCTGCTCTGTTCCCGTGCACACGTTGGTTGCTGTTCGAAACATGTTTCTTATAAGCGCCCTTTCCGTGTGAGAGGGGTGAGAGGAGAGGTAATGAACCAAGATATTTTTACTACTTGGCTTTCGGTACCAATCCGTAATGTAGACATTTTCTGACAGGTTAATTTGGACGCTCAGGAATGGAAGCCATTTTTTTTTCGGTTTGGTTTCTTTCGAGTGAACTTGATATACTCTAACTGTTTATTCAACAACTCGAAACATTTGTCCATTTCCTCTTGTGTTGAGCAAAGGACAAAGCAGTCATCTACATACAGTAGCGACCCGAGATCAATCAGACCTTAGTGCTTCCACCTTAGACATAAACGCAATGGCAAGACTTGGCGCTAGTCGCTGTCCCATTGCCAATCCTCTTATTTCAGCGTAGTACTTTCCAGACCATCTGAAGATTGAGTAGCTCAAACATTCTTTTAAGAGTGCCATCAACTGCTCTATCTTGAAGCCGTGCATGTTTATTTCTCTTTCGTGTTGTAGAAGGAGTTCGAATATGGCTTGCATTGCGTAGTCATTCGACACGTTTGTATAAAGGGCGGTGACGTCGAAGGACTCCATCATGTACGCGCTGCTGGGCTGCGCAGTACGTAGACGATCCAGAAACATTTGGGTATTCGTAAGATGGGCTGGAATGTGTTTCAACAACTGGTTAAATATTAGGGTTAAAAACGATGTTATCCTGTCCGTTGGCTCGTCTACACAGCTAATGATAGGTCTAACCTTAAACAATGATGGATCGGTAGACGCAAGATCATCGCTGAATACTAACTTATGAGTTTTATAAGCAAGTACAAAACGGGACATGTTGATAAGTCAATTGAAAGATTTGATGTGCCAGAGCTGTGGGATCGAGCCCTTCTTTTTTGTAAGGTACCCCTAACCATTGCGCTCCGCTCGCCTCTGACGAGCTGCCCACTATGGAAATAAAAAAATATGTGTAAAGTTTTTCTGCAGAGGTTGCAAAAGTGTTTGTATGAGTAGACTGCAGGTTAATTTGACCTTTCTAGGCTCTGAAGAAGTTGAAATCAGCAAAAACGTCAGCCAGTACTGCACTGAATAAATCTTGTTAATAACAACCTAGTGTTCACTCATGAAAAAAAAGCCGCGAATTATTTGACCGATATCGAGCTTAATGGAAAGTCCGCCTTAGATATACACTGCATATTCTCCATGTATTCTTTCTTTGATGAGCTTACACGAGGTTGATAATGATATTTATTTTCGGCTAACGTTTCGACGTCTTCGTCTTCCTCAGACCCGATGATCCGAGTCGATGGTCCGTGCTTGTTATTCGTCTCGACGTGGCAGCTTCGCCTTCGTGACGAGTCAGGTCTTCCTCAGTGAGCCATCTCCTCGAATGAGGCATCCTCACTCAGTGATGCCTTCCCCTGCCCTATGCCCTTCCCTGTCCTGAAATACTACTGAACATTCTCTCTTAGGTGAATGATAACATGACGACAGATTTCAGGTGGTAGTGAATTCATACACCTGCATCACCTGTAGTCCTGTTGATCGTTGAGTGACTCGAGCGGGCGCCAGTAAATCTCCCATTTTTCCCTGTCACGTTCAAGAGTAACGCAGCGGATTCTGCTCGCTCTACGGACTCGTCCAACAACATGTCTTTCTTCAAGGCTCTTTGTGAAGAACTCTGACCATCGGGACGTTGGCCTTCCTTCAGTACGTTTGACATCCCGAGGAATCTAGTCACTAACGGCTCTTGCCCATCGGCTGTCATTCATACGCATTACGTGTCCGGCACCCCTTATCTTCGACTGTTTGGCGCACAGAACGGCATCTTTCATTTTTGATCGTTGACGCAGATAGGAGCTTCAGATCCCATCCCTTACTTGTGTAGAACGGAATACTCCTAGCATCGTCCTTTCGTATGCGCGTTCGATAACGCTGAGTTAACTTTCATCTTGTTTACGCAGCGACCAGGTTTCTGAGGCATACGTTAGAGCAGGAACTGCCGCTGAGTCGAAATGGTGGGCACGGAGTCGAGTGTTCTTTGTTCTCTTCACTACATCCCCGATGCTCTTGAAAGCTCCCCAAACCACTCGTTTTCTTCTGCTCAGCTCTGGAGCTAAGTCGTTCATCATGTTGATTTCCCGACCTAGATAGATATAATTGGAGCATTCGGAGATATTCGTTCCGCTGAGCGCGAATGAGGCATGCCAAACCAATTTGTTCCTCATAAATATCGTTTTTGTGAGATTTAGTCGAACATGATTCTTTCCACAGGCTTTATCAAAGTCGTCAAGCATACGTTCCGCTTGGGTAATGTTTCGTGTTATAAGGACGACGTCATCAGCAAAGCGAAGATGGTGTAATTGCTGACCATATATTTTCACTCCCGCATTATCTCATTCCAATGTCCGCATGACGTTCTGGAGGGTAGCGGGAAATAATTTTCGCGAGATGGCATCGCCTTGCCTAACCCCTCCTTTGACGTCAATGTTCATATAGTTGTAGAATGGGGATATATTGGTTGTGAAGTTTTTGTACAGCTCACGAAGAATCTTTATGTACTAAATAGGGACTTCTTGACTATTAAGGGGTTCCAAAACTGCTTCTATCTCGTCTGAATCAAAGGCCTTCTGTAGATCGACAAAAGTGAGACAAAGCGTTCTTTTGTACTCTCGCGATACGTCAATGAGTCTTGTTAACGTGTGATTGTGGTCCATCGTACTAAATACTTTTGAAACCCTGCTTGCTCACATGATTGTCCTTCATCCAGTGTTCTGTCAATACTGTTTAGTGACTCGAGTGAAAAGTTTGTTTACGACAGACAGCAAGCAGTTGCCGATATCGTGTAGGTCACCTTTATTGATCGAAAACACGGCCTTGCTAGTCTACCACGGAGTACGAACTTTGCGTTCAGACAGGTAGCATGTGGGGAGCCGAGCCAGTGTGTTTACGAGGACTGGCAGAAGGCTCTTCAGGTGTTCAGGTATTCTGGTCTTATCCTCTCCGGACCTGGTGCTGTTCGATTTTTCACCGACGAAGTGGCATATAGGATTTCGGAAGGGAGAAGAGTGGTACTTATATTGTTCATTTATATAGTTTAAGAGATTATTTTCCACTGAACCATTTCATCTATAATCGTCTTTCTAAAAATCACTTCGTAGCAATTTTAGACAGCTTGAAATCACGGTTTCAAGCGAAGAAATTGGATAATAACACAAGATTTTGAATCGTGAGCATAAAAATAGAACAGATTAGGTTCAGTGCAGTGTTGGGATCAAGATAGGGCCCACAAACACTTCCAAATCCCGAATTTGCACCAAGGGAAGGCTACACGGGCCTACTGATGGACTAACCCATAAAAACATTCTGAGTTTTGTAGAAACGATCACAGCAAAGGCTGACTGCTACGAAATTGATGAAGTGTGTAGGAAAGAATATATATGCATGGAGGATTTTACCGCAGAAAATACTGTTCTCTTGCATGACAAAGCGCACTCACATCTCGAGCACCTCGATCATTACTAGTTGGGGATACCTCAAGAAGCTCAATCGCTATTTCGAACGCTGTCCAAGAATCTGGCGATAGCAGAATACGAACGGGATAAGCAAACACTCATCGCTTTGATAAAAAGTGTGAAGATTTAAATGATTCCCACTTTGATTATTAAAGTTGTTTTTTGGTTGAATAGTAGCACTTCACATTTCTTCTTCAAGATGTTTCATCAGTTTCGAACAAGTATTAACCGTGGCGACTCTGGCACAAGGCTTTGACGAAGAACAGTTAAGATAGACAAAATTTTGATTACTGTAAAAGATGTTGATGTATTGATGCACTTGTTTGGAGCAATGAATGTGATACCACTAGTGAAAGGCTCTTGACACTCTTGACACAGTCAAGCGATAGACTTGAGGACTTCAGCCTGCCATGATGCAAAAATCCGTTCATCTTTCCTTCGAAACTTTTCATGAGTAACCTCACATAGCCTTTGAAGACCTTGTTTTTAAATAATGCAGGCATTTATGACTTGATTACATTCTAAAATGTAGTCCACAATTAATGCTAAGAAATTTCTGGAACCAACTGCCATTCAACCTAGTGATGATGATTAATGTGCAAATATCTTCCTGTGCCACTGATATGTTGACACGAGGTTGTTATATAAGTCTATTATT